ACTTACTAAACATATACTTACTAACATACACATTTATACTCATTACAACTAACATATACTTACTAACATATACTTACTAACATATACTTTTATACTCAATGCACACTAACATATACTTACTAACATATACTTACTAACATACACATTGTATATCATTATACACTTACTAACATATTCTTACTAACATATACTTACTAACATATACTTTTATATTATGCACACTAACATATACTAACTAACTCTACTTTAACATACACTTTATACTATATACACTTACTAACAATAATACTACATATACTTACTAACATATACTACTAACATATACTTACTAACATATACTTACTAACATATACTTACTAACATATACTTACTAACATACCAATAACATAATTACTAACATATACTTACTAACATATACTTACTAACATATACTTACTAACATATACACACTAACATATACGTACTAACATATACTTACTAACTATACTTACTAACATTATCACACTAACATATACTTACTAACATATACTTACTAACATATATACTAACATACACATTTATACTCATTAACACACTACATATACTTACTAACATATACTTACTAACATATACTTTATATATAGCACAAACAATATACTTACTAACATATACTTACTAACATACACATTTATACTCATTACACACTAACTATTACTTACTAACAATACTTACTAACATATATTTATACTCATTATGCACCTAACATTACTTACAAACATACGTACTAACAATACTACTATATTATACTCATTATACACACTAACATACACTTATATACTTACTAACATATACTTACTAACATATACTTTATACTCATTATGCACACTAACATATACTTACTAACATATACTTACTAACATACACATTTATACTCATTATACACACTAACATATTACTTACTAACATATACTTACTAACATATACTTTATACTCATTATGCACACTAACATATACTTACTAACATATACTTACTAACATACACATTTATACTCATTATACACACTAACATATACTTACTAACATATACTTACTAACATATACTTACTAACATATACTTACTAACATATACTTACTAACATTACTTACTAAATATACTACTACATATACACTAACAATATTACTAACATATACTTACTACATATACTTACTAACATATACTACTAACTTACACACTAACATATACTTACTAACATATACTTACTAACATATACTTACTAACATATACTTACTAACATATACTTACTAACATATACTTACTAACATATACTTACTAACATATACTTACTAACATATACTTACTAACATATACACACTAACATATACTTACTAACATAACTTACTAACATTACTTACTAACATAACACTAACATATACTACTAACATATACTTACTAACATATACTTACTAACATATACTTACTAACATATACTTACTAACATATACTTACTAACATATACACACTAACATATACTTACTAACATATACTTACTAACATATACTTACTAACATATACTTACTAACATACACATATATACTCATTATACACTTACTAACATATACTTATATACTAATTATACACTAACATATACTTACTAACATACACATATATACTCATTATACACACTAACATATACTTACTAACATATACTTACTAACATACACATATATACTCATTATACACTTACTAACATATACTTATATACTAATTATACACAAACATATACTTACTAACATATACTTACTAACATATACTTACTAACATATACACACTAACATATACTTACTAACATATACTTACTAACATATACTTACTAACATATACTTACTAACATATACACACTAACATATACTTACTAACATATACTTACTAACATATACTTACTAACATATACTTACTAACATATACTTACTAACATATACTTACTAACATATACACACTAACATATACTTACTAACATATACTTACTAACATATACACACTAACATATACTTACTAACATATACTTACTAACATATACTTACTAACATATACTTACTAACATACACATATATACTCATTATACACTTACTAACATATACTTATATACTAATTATACACTAACATATACTTACTAACATATACTTACTAACATACACATATATACTCATTATTCACTTACTAACATATACTTATATACTAATTATACACTAACATATACTTACTAACATATACTTACTAACATACACATATTACTCATTATACACTTACTAACATATACTTATATACTAATTATACACTAACATATACTTACTAACATATACTTACTAACATATACTTACTAACATATACTTACTAACATATACTTACTAACACACACATTTATACTCATTATACACTTACTAACATATACTTACTAACATATACTTACTAACATACACATTTATACTCATTATACACTTACTAACATATACTTACTAACACATATATATACACTAACACACATATACTAATTATACACTAACATTTATACTCATTATACACACTAACATATACTTATTAACACATATATATATACACTAAAACACATATACTAATTATACACTAACAAACACTCACGTTTATACTCATTATACACTTACTAACATATATACTTACTAATTATACACTCACGTTTATACTCATTATACACTTACTAACATATATACTTACTAATTATACACTCACGTTTATACTCATTATACACTTACTAACATATATACATGTATACTTACTAATTATACACTAACACACACTCACGTTTATACTCATTATACACACACTAACATATACTTACTAACACACACATATATATATATATACACTAACACACATAAACACTCACAATAAACACTAACAAACACTCACATTTATACTCATTATACACTTACTAACATACACATATATACTTACTAATTATACACTAACAAACACTCACATTTATACTCATTATACACTTACTAACATATACATATATACTTACTAATTATACACTAACAAACACTCACATTTATACTCATTATACACTTACTAACATATATACTTACTAATTATACACTCACATTTATACTCATTATACACTTACTAACATATATACATGTATACTTACTAATTATACACTAACACACACTCACGTTTATACTCATTATACACACACTAACATATACTTACTAACACACACATATATATATACACTAACACACATAAACACTCACAATAAACACTAACAAACACTCACATTTATACTCATTATACACTTACTAACATACACATATATACTTACTAATTATACACTAACAAACACTCACATTTATACTCATTATACACTTACTAACATATACTTGCTAACACATATATATATATACACTAACACACATATATACTAATTATACACTAACATTTAAACTCATTATACACTTACTAACATACACATATATACTTACTAATTATACACTAACATATATACTCATTATACACACTAACATACACATATATACTTACTAATTATACACTAACACACATTCACCCACTCACTCGCTCACCCACCCACTCACCCACTCACTCACCCACTCACTCACCCACTCACCCACTCACTCACCCACTCACTTACTTACTCACCCAGTCACTTACTTACTCACCCAGTCACTCACTCACCCACTCACTCACTCACCCACTCACTCACTCACTCACCCACTCACCCACTCACCCACCCACTCACTCACCCACCCACTCACTCACTCACCCACTCACTCACTCACCCACTCACCCACTCACCCACCCACTCACTCACTCACCCACTCACTCACTCACCCACTTACCACTCACCCACTCACTCACTCACTCACCACTCACTCACTCACCCACTCACCCACTCACTCACTCACCCACTCACCCACTCACTTACTCACCCACTCACTGACTCGCACCACTCACTCATTCACCCAGTCACTCACTCACCCACCCACTCATCCACTCACTCATTCACCCACTCACTCACCCACTCACCACACTCACCCACAAACCCACTCACTCACTCACCACTCATTCACTCACACACCCACCCACTCACTCACCCACTCACTCACTCACCCACTCACTTACTCACCCACTCACTTACTCGCACCACTCACTCATTCACCCAGTCACTCACTCACCCACCCACTTATCCACTCACTCCTTCACCCACTCACTCACCCACTCACCACACTCACCCACAAACCCACTCATTCACCCACTCACTCATTCACCCACTCACTCACCCACTCACCACATTCACCCACAAACCCACTCACTCACTCACCACTCATTCACTCACACACCCACCCACTCACTCACCCACTCACTCACTCACCCACTCACTTACTCACCTACTCACTTACTCGCACCACTCACTCATTCACCCAGTCACTCACTCACCCACCCACTTATCCACTCACTCATTCACCCACTCACTCACACACTCACCCACAAACCCACTCATTCACCCACTCACTCACTCACCCACTCACTCACCCACTTACTTATTCACCCACTAACTTACTCACCCACTCACTCATTCACCCAGTCACTCACCCACCCACTCATCCACTCACTCATTCACCCACTCACTCACCCACTCACCACACTCACCCACAAACCCACTCACTCACCCACTCACTCATTCACCCAGTCACTCATTGACCCAGTCAATCACTCACTCACCCACTCACTCACTCACTCACCCACTCACTCATTTACCCACTCATTCATCTACCCACCCACTCACTCATTCACCCACTCACTCACTCACTCACTCACCCACTCACCACACTCACCCACAAACCCACTCACTCACCCACTCACTAATTCACCCAGTCACTCATTCACCCAGTCAATCACTCACTCACCCACTCACTCACTCATTCACCCATTCACTCATTCACCCACTCACTCATTCACCCACTCACTCATTCACCCAGTCACTCACTAACTCACCCACCCACCCACCAGGGCCGTATTATCCGATAGGCCACAGTAGACACTGTGACCACGTCTTTTTGTTGTTGTTGTTTATTTTACGCACAAAAAAATGTCACCAAGATTTCTTCTTATCATCCGGCCATGCCAACTGTCGAAGGTACCAAATGAAATTACCAACGCGCGTGACACAAGCGTAGTGACAGCAGCGGTAGTAACCTGGGGGCAGCCAGTAACCAGTTGTAGAGAGTTATCACTAACAGGCCTAATAAACCACAAGTGCCTAGGTCCTACACGGACCTTCATCCGGCCCTGCCAACAGTCGAAGATACCAATGGAAGTAACTGCGTGAGAAAGGAGCGGAGTGACAGCGGTAGGAGTAGTAGTGACATGGGGCACCCAGTAACCAACTGTTGAAAGTTATCAATGATGGCCTGACTAAACACAAGTGCCTAGGGCCTACAAGAACCTTCATCCAGCCCTGACGATTGCAGACATTACCAGGGAAAGTGGCCGTGTGAGAGACTAGGGGAGTGACAGCCGTGGTCGTAGCGGCGACACGGGACAGCAGTAGCAACTGCAGAGAGTTATCACTGAAGGCCTCACGAAGTGCCTAGAGCCTACACGAACCTTCATCCGGCCCTGCCGATTGCAGACATTACCAGCTAAAGTGGCCGTGTGAGAGACTAGGCAAGTGACAGCCGGAGTAGCAGCGGTGACATGGGGCGGCCGTAGCAACTGTACAGACTTATCACTGAAGGCCTCACGAAGTGCCTAGAGCCTACAAGAACCTTCATCCGGCCCTGCCGATTGCAGACATTACAAGCGAAAGTAGCCACGTGAGAGACTAGGGGAGTGACAGCCGGAGTAGCAGCGGTGACATGGGCAGCAGTAGAAACTGCAGAGAGTTCTACGGGAACCAGCAGTGCCTCCTACCTACGCGAAGCCTAAACCGGGCCTGCAAGTAGGCGAGTGTGGTGGTTAACGCGAGACTCGGGTGCCTTGGCAAAAGGCATCCGCTTGCCGTTGGAACGTCTTAACGCCTCCCTGGTCTACTGTTGCCAGACGGGATGTGTCACCTGCAGAAAGGGTGAAACCTTTGCTGACAGTAGTAAAAGATCGGAGGGGTTCAGGTGATGTTCGAGCACCAAACGGAGAACTTTTTGCAGAGGAATCAAGTGTCTGCATTGTGGTAAAACGTGCAAACTCAAACATGCTCTGCTAATAACAATAGCATAGGGTGCTTGATAATAAAGGTTTTTGGGTTAGATTATTTATAAATGTGTTGTAACCCTCCACCACCCAACACAGCCAAACAGTAAAAAAACTGTCACGTTTGCAAAGGACAAAACATGTCACTTCTTTTAGCCCAACCGGCGTGTTGAAGAGCGAATCAACATGATTTACAATTTGAGGACGACGTTTCGCTGGTAATTACATCCAGCTTCACCGGGCGATTTTCCGGCAGGGTGAGGCTCTCCTCTTGCTTGTGTAGAGGAGTAAAATGGCGGCGCTCTGGGGAGCAGCTGAGCAGCTGAAGGCCGAGCCGACACGTGGCGCTCACCCACTCTCCAGCACGCCGCTGGCTGACGGACGGCACTCTGGTGAGCGGCTGAGTGGCTGAAGGCTGAGTCAACACGTAGCGCTCACCCACTCTCCAGCACGCCGCCGACTGACGGCGCTCTGGTGAGCGGCTAAGAGGCTGAAGGCCGATCCACCGCGTGGCGCTCACACACTCCCCAGCACGCCGCCAAGCTGACGGCGCTCTGGTGAGCGGCTGAGCAGCTGAAGGCTGAGCCGACACGTGGCGCTCACACACTCCCCAGCACGCCACCGACTGACGTCGCTCTGGGGAGCAGCTGAAGGCCGATCCACCGCGTGGCGCTTACACACTCCCCAGCACGCCGCCAGCTGACGGCGCTCTGGTGAGCGGCTGAGCAGCTGAAGGCCGAGCCGCCGCGTGGCCGGTGGAGATGGCTTGGGGCAGCAGCGGCGACCGGGAGCTCCTCTTGCTTCTTCACACGCCGACCACGCACCTCGCTCCGGCACCCCGCTTATATTCGCCCCCCGCGACTAAACCCCGCCTCTGGCCGCGCCCACTCATGGAACATTCCGGGGCGTTCCAGAGACTTCCCGGGTGGCTCCGCCCCATTTACCGTTGGCCGAGATGTAATCCTTCTCCTAGACAAGCCGTGGCTGCATATCGCACCACAACCCACGCGATACAGGAGACGGCGCTCGCATTACAATACAGGTAGTCCTCTATCTACTTGGTTCTTTCGGTAAAGTCACTTAGAAGGGAAATAATAAAAGAATACAACTAAAACATGAGAATTATTTTATTATGTTTTATTTTTATTATGTTATCATTTCCCTTCTACGTGACTTTACCGAAAGAACCAAGAAGATGAATCCATGCAGTCACAAAAGCTTTAAATCGAAAGCAGTCCTCTGCTTACGATGGAGATGCGTTACGACGACCCCATCGTAAGTCGGAAATATCGTAAGTCGAAGATGGCCTAGCCTACCCAGGAGTCTTACAGAATGGTGATAATTTAGCAAAACAGAGCAATTTACAGTACCGTACTGTATAAACTATATACTGTGTGTATTTCTTAACTACAATACTGTATTGCGCGGTGAAATGTAAAGTAAAAAAAACAAGGTAAATTCTTAGCCCGCCTATATGAACTACAATTTAATAGAAAGTTTTTTACGGAAACAATCCTATCTGCTATAAAATTAAAAAAAAACTTTTAACATGCATTGAATGTATCGTAACGTGGTAACCTTAAAATGAAATCGCTAAAGCTACGTACCATTACATGCATTGAACGTATCGTAACGTATCACATTGTACTCTACCCACCAACATTCTGTCCGTCGTCTGCACACTTGAACGACGTTACGTTGTTGATGGCAATTTTGTCGTATCGCCATCGTAAGATCGAAATATCGTAAGTCGGGGACCATCGTAACTCGGGGACTACATGTACTTACGAACGAGTTCGGTTCCTGAGGTGTCTGTTCGTAAGTCGCAAATTCACTCTCGCCGATTGCAAACTCGCTGTACGGCGTGTACACGAGGCACGGGGAATGGCTTTCAAAGTTTTATAATCTCCTGCAGATGTAGATGCCACTGATTCTTCACGTTCTGCAGATGTAGATGCCACTGGTTCTTCACGTTCTGCAGATGTAGATGTCACTGGTTCTTCACGTTCTGCAGATATAGATGCCACTGGTTCTTCATGTTCTGTAGATGTAGATGCCACTGGTTCTTCACATTCTGCAGATGTAGATGCCACTAGTTCTTCACGTTCTGCAGATATAGATGCCACTGGTTCTTCATGTTCTGCAGATGTAGATGCCACTGGTTCTTCATGTTCTGCAGATGTAGATGCCACTAGTTCTTCACGTTCTGCAGATATAGATGCCACTGGTTCTTCGTGTTCTGCAGATGTAGATGCCACTGATTCTTCACGTTCTGCAGATGTAGATGCCACTGGTTCTTCACGTTCTGCAGATGTAGATGTCACTGGTTCTTCACGTTCTGCAGATTAAGATGCCACTGGTTCTTCATGTTCTGTAGATGTAGATGCCACTGGTTCTTCACATTCTGCAGATGTAGATGCCACTAGTTCTTCACGTTCTGCAGATATAGATGCCACTGGTTCTTCATGTTCTGCAGATGTAGATGCCACTGGTTCTTCATGTTCTGCAGATGTAGATGCCACTAGTTCTTCACGTTCTGCAGATATAGATGCCACTGGTTCTTCGTGTTCTGCAGATGTAGATGCCACTGGTTCTTGACGTTCTGTAGATGTAGATGCCACTGGTTCTTCATGTTTTATAGATGCCACTGGTTCTTCACGTTCTGCAAATGTAGATGCCACTGGTTCTTGACGTTCTGTAGATGTAGATGTCACTGGTTCTTCACGTTCTGCAGATGTAGATGCCACTGGTTCTTCACCTTCTGTAGATGTAGATGCCACTGGTTCTTCACCTTCTGTAGATGTAGATACCACTGGTTCTTCACGTTCTACAGATGTAGATGCCACTGGTTCTTCACCTTCTGTAGATGTAGATACCACTGGTTCTTCACGTTCTACAGATGTAGATGCCACTGGTTCTTCATGTTCTGCAGATGTAGATGCCACTGGTTCTTCACGTTCTGCAGATGTATATGTCACTGGTTCTTCATGTTCTGCAGATGTAGATTCCACTGGTTCTTGACGTTCTGCAAATGTAGATGCCACTGGTTCTTCACGTTCTGCAGATGCCACTGGTTCTTCACGTTCTGCAGATATAGATGTCACTGGTTCTTCACGTTCTACAGATGTAGATGCCACTGGTTCTTCATGTTCTGCAGATGTAGATGCCACTGGTTTTTCACGTTCTGTAGATGTAGATGCCACTGGTTTTTCACGTTCTACAGATGTAGATGCCACTGGTTCTTCACGTTCTGCAGATGTAGATGCCACTGGTTCTTCACGTTCTGCAGATGCCACTGGTTCTTCACGTTCTGCAGATATAGATGCCACTGGTTCTTCACATTCTACAGATGTAGATGCCACTGGTTCTTCACGTTCTGCAGATGTAGATGCCACTGGTTCTTCACGTTCTGCAGATGTAGATGCCACTGGTTCTTCATGTTCTGCAGATGTAGATGCCACTAGTTCCTCACGTTCTGCAGATATAGATGCCAGTGGTTCTTCATGTTCTGCAGATGTAGATGCCACTGGTTCTTGACGTTCTGTAGATGTAGATGCCACTGGTTCTTCACGTTCTGTAGATGTAGATACCACTGGTTCTTCATGTTCTATAGATGCCACTGGTTCTTCACGTTCTGCAAATGTAGATGCCACTGGTTCTTGACGTTCTGTAGATGTAGATGTCACTGGTTCTTCACGTTTTGTAGATGTAGATGTCACTGGTTCTTCACGTTCTGCAGATGTAGATGCCACTGGTTCTTCACCTTCTGTAGATGTAGATGCCACTGGTTCTTCACCTTCTGTAGATGTAGATACCACTGGTTCTTCACGTTCTACAGATGTAGATGCCACTGGTTTTTCATGTTCTGCAGATGCAGATGCCACTGGTTCTTCACGTTCTGCAGATGTAGATGCCACTGGTTCTTCATGTTCTGCAGATGTAGATGCCACTGGTTCTTGGCGTTCTGCAAATGTAGATGCCACTGGTTCTTCACGTTCTGCAGATATAGATGTCACTGGTTCTTCACGTTATACAGATGTAGATGCCACTGGTTCTTCATGTTCTGCAGATGTAGATGCCACTGGTTCTTCACGTTCTGTAGATGTAGATGCCACTGGTTTTTCACGTTCTACAGATGTAGATGCCACTGGTTCTTCACGTTCTGCAGATGTAGATGCCACTGGTTCTTCACGTTCTGCAGATGCCACTGGTTCTTCACGTTCTGCAGATATAGATGCCACTGGTTTTTCACATTCTACAGATGTAGATGCCACTGGTTCTTCACGTTCTGCAGATGTAGATGCCACTGGTTCTTCACGTTCTGCAGATGTAGATGCCACTGGTTCTTCACCTTCTGTAGATGTAGATGTCGCTGGTTCTTCACGTTCTGCAGATGTAGATGCCAGTGGTTCTTCATGTTCTGCAGATGTAGATGCCACTGGTTCTTCACCTTCTGTAGATGTAGATAACTCGGGGACTATCTGTACTAATAATCTACAGGCATCTCCTCTGAGACTGATGGCGCGACGGTGCGTCTCGTCCACAGAGGAGGGACGAGCGGGCGATGGACGCAACCGAGGGAGACGTCGGCGTGGAGAGGGAGGAGGAGAGAGGAGAGGGAATTGTGGAGAGGCTGTCGGGTGGAGGGCAGAGGGTGGAGGAGGAGAAGGTGGTGGAGGTGGTGGAGGAGGAGGTGGTGAAGGTGGTGGAGGAGGTGGTGGTAGGCGAGAGGGTAGAGGGACGTGAGGAGGTGACGAAGGAGGAGAGAGTGGACAGGGAGAGCGATAAGGTAGAGTTGGTGAAGGTGGTGGAGTTGGTGGAGTTGGTGGAGTTGGTGGAGGGGAGAGATAGCGGGGAGAGAGTCGAGATGGAGGAGGAGGGTTTGGGAGAGGGAGTGAAGGAGGCAGAGGAGGGAGTGAAGGATGAGCATGAAGAGGGAGTGAAGGAGGCAGGGGAAGCAGTGAAGGAGGCAGGAGAGGGAGTGAAGGAGGCAGAGGAGGCAGTGAAGGAGATACGGGAGGGAGTGAAGGAAACAGGCGAGGGAGTGAAGGATGAGCAGGACGAGGGAGTGAACGAGGCAGAGGAGGGAGTGAAGGAGGCAGAGGAGGCAGTGAAGGAGACAGGGGAGGCAGTGAAGGAAACAGAGGAGGGAGTGAAAGAAACAGGGGAGGCAGTGAAGGAGACACGGGAGGCAGTGAAGGAGACACGGGAGGGAGTGAAGGAAACAGGGGAGGCAGTGAAGGATGAGCAGGAGGAGGCAGTGAAGGAGACCCGGGAGGGAATGAAGGAAACAGGGGAGGGAGTGAAGGAGGCAGTGAAGGAGGCACGGGAGGGAGTGAAGGAAACAGAGGAGGCAGTGAAGGAGGCAGTGACGGACGAGCAGGAGGAGGGTTTGGTGTGCGGGGTGGTTGCGGCGTCCATCTCGCGAGCCGCCCGCACCGTGACGACGGAGACTCGGCTGCAGCGCAGTGAGACCCTTGCACTCGCAGGGGCAGCTGCCACTGAGGGTGCCCTCAGAGCAGATCACACAGCAGTGATCATCGCTACCCCTACTGGCTACAGACTGACGCACAGGGAGAGCTGCCACTGAGGGTGCCCCTAGACCAGATCACACAGCAGCAGCAGCAGCGATCATCGCTACCCCTACTGCTAGCTGACTGACACACAGAGACAGCTGCCACTGAGGATGCCCCTAGGGCAGATCACACAGCAACAGCAGCGACCATCGCTACCCCGTCTGGCTACAGACTGACGCACAGAGACAGCTGACCCTGGGGGTGCTCCTAGACCAGATCACACATCAGCAGCGATCATCGCTCCCCCTACTGGCTACTGACTGACACACAGAGACAGCTGACCCTGGGGGTGCCCTTAGACCAGATCACACATCAGCAGCAGCAGCGATCATCGCTACCCCTACTGACAGCAGACTGACACACAGAGACAGCTGCCACTGGGGATGCCCCTAGGCCAGATCACACAGTAGCGACCATCGCTACCTCGACTGGCTACAGACTGACACACAGGGACAGCTGCCACTGAGGGTGCCCTACTGACAGCTGACACACAGGGACAGCTGCCGCTGGGCGTGCCCCTAGGACAGATCACATAGCAGCGATCATCGCTCCCCCTACTGACATCTGACTGACACACAGAGACAGCTGCCGCTGGGGGTGCCCCTACTGCTACTGAAACCCCGATGGGTGGTCGTTTACCCCTCCCCCCCCCCTGCCGACGCCAGGCCACGCGGCGGACATCGCGTGGGTCTCCTGCGCCCAGTTCACCGCCGAGGTCGGCCGCGGGCAGATCGAGGAGTTTCTCACGGTGAGCGGCGCCCGCACGCACGGGGGCAGCTCTCACCCCCAGCGGCAGCTGTCTCTGTGCGTCAGTCTGGAGCCTGTGGGAGGGTAGTGCCAGGTGCTACTGCACCTTGCCAGGTGCTACACCTTGCTAGGTGCTGCACAATGCCAGGTGCTACACTTTGCCAGGTGCTACAGCACCTTGCCAGGTGCTGCACCTTGCCAGGTGCTACACCACCTTGCCAGGTGCTGCACCTTGCCAGGTGCTGCACCTTTCCAGGTGATGCTACACCTTGCCAGGTGCTGCACCTTGCCAGGTGATGCTACACCTTGCCAGGTGCAGCACCTTGCCAGGTGCTACACCTTGCCAGGTGATGCTACACCTTGCCAGGTGCTGCACCTTGCCAGGTGCTGCACCTTGCCAGGTGCTAACCCTTGCCATGTGCTACACCTTGCCAGGTGCTACACCTTGCCAGGTGCTACAGCACCTTGCTAGGTGCTGCACCTTGCTAGGTGCTGCACAATGCCAGGTGCTGCACCTTGCCAGGTGCTGCTGCACCTTGCCAGGTGCTACACCTTGCCAGGTGCTACACCTTGCCAGGTGCTGGTGCACCTTGCCAGGTGCTGCACCTTGCCAGGTGCTACACCTTGCCAGGTGATGCTACACCTTGCCAGGTGCTGCACCTTGCCAGGTGCTACACCTTGCCAGGTGCTACACCTTGCCAGGTGCTACAGCACCTTGCTAGGTGCTACACCTTGCTAGGTGCTGCACAATGCCAGGTGCTGCACCTTGCCAGGTGCTGCTGCACCTTGCCAGGTGCTACACCTTGCCAGGTGCTACTGCACCTTGCCAGGTGCTGCTGCACCTTGCCAGGTGCTACTGCACCTTGCCAGGTGCTGCACCTTGCCAGGTGCTGCACCTTGCCAGGTGCTACACCTTGCCAGGTGCTGCACCTTGCCAGGTGCTGCACCTTGCCAGGTGCTACACCTTGCGAGGTGCTCCTGCACCTTGCCAGGTGCTACACCTTGCGAGGTGCTCCTGCACCTTGCCAGGTGCTGCACCTTGCCAGGTGCTGCTGCACCTTGCCAGGTGCTACTGCACCTTGCCAGGTGCTGCTGCACCTTGCCAGGTGCTACTGCACCTTGCCAGGTGCTGCTGCCACCTTGCCAGGTGCTGCACCTTGCCAGGTGCTACTGCACATTGCCAGGTGCTACAGCACCTTGCCAGGTGCTCCACCTTGCCAGGTGCTACTGCACCTTGCCAGGTGCTACACACTGCCAGTTGCAGCACCTGGCAAGGTGCTCGCTCTCTCTCGCCGCTCTCTCTCGCTCGCTCTCTCTCGCTCGCTCTCTCTCGCTCGCTCTCTCTCGCTCGCTCTCTCTCGCTCGCTCTCTCTCGCTCGCTCTCTCTCGCTTCGCTCTCTCGCTCGCTCTCTCTCGCTCGCTCTCTCTCGCTCGCTCTCTCTCGCTCGCTCTCTCTCGCTCGCTCTCTCTCGCTCGCTCTCTCTCGCTCGCTCTCTCTCGCTCGCTCTCGCTCGCTCTCTCTCTCTCGCTCGCTCTCTCTCGCTCGCTCTCTCGCTCGCTCTCTCTCGCTCGCTCTCTCACTCACTTCCCCGCCTCTCGCCCACCACCCCCCCCACCCCAGACGTGGCGACGCTCCCCGCTGTGGCTCCACTGCACGGAGTTTGTGGGCGAGGAGCGCTGCGCGTGGGGGCGCCGCTGCCGCTACCGCGTCACCTGGAGCCTCCCCACGGCGCATGCCCCCATCCCCAGCGCCAGCGCGCAGACACACTTCACCCTCCTCGTCGCCAGCGGCAGGCCGCCGGTGAGGGTGTGGTGCGGGGGGGGGGGCAGTGGGGGACGGGCGGGAGGGAGGAAGGATGGGATTGATGGGACTAAAGGAAGGAAGGCAGGAAAGGAAGGAACGGATGGAACGGACGGAAGAAGGGGGAAAGAAGGAGGGAGGGGAGGACACGGAGAGAGGGGGGGAGGGAGAGAGGGGGGGAGGGAGAGAGGGAGGAAGGAGGTAGGGAAGGAGAGAGGGGGAGTGGGGAGGGAAGGAAGGACAGATGGAAGGAAGGAGGGAAGGGAGGGAGTGGTGGATGGGAGGGAAGGAGGGAGGGACGGGCGGTTTGGCATTCATCGTTGAAGTGGTGAATGACGTCGTAGCAATCCTCACACAGACAAAGATCCCCCGTGTAGCCTCTAACAGACTGTTGGGGCAAGTGCTGTTAGCGAGCAGCAACTATGAAGGCCATCTGTGATTCTCCATCTTGTGAGTGATGAGATTTCTCCAGCTTGTGAGTGGAGAGATTTCTCCATCTTGTGAGTGAGAGATTCTCCATCCTTTGGTGAGTGAGAGGTTTCTCCATTTTGTGAGTGAGAGATTTCTTACATCTTTGTGAGTGAGAGATTTCTCCATCTTGTGAGTGAGAGATTTCTCCATAGATTTCCATCTTGTGAGTGAGAGATTTCTCCATCTTGTGAGTGAGAGTTTCTCCATCTTGTGAGTGAGAGATTTCTCCATCTTGTGAGTGAGAGATTTCTCCATCTGTGAGTGAGAGATTTCTCCATCTTGTGAGTGAGAGATTTCTCCATCTTGTGAGTGAGAGATTTCTCCATCTTGTGAGTGAGAGATTTCTCCATCTTGTGAGTGAGAGATTTCTCCATCTTGTGAGTGAGAGATTTCTCCATCTTGTGAGAGAGATTTCTCCATCTTGTGAGTGAGAGATTTCTCCATCTTGTGAGTGAGAGATTTCTCCATCTTGTGAGTGGAGATTTCTCCATCTTGTGAGTGAGAGATTTCTCCATCTTGTGAGTGAGAGATTTCTCCATCTTGTGAGTGAGAGATTTCTCCATCTTGTGAGTGAGAGATTTCTCCATCTTGTGAGTGAGAGTTTCTCCATCTTGTGAGTGAGAGATTTCTCCATCTTGTGAGTGAGAGATTTCTCCATCTTGTGAGTGAGAGATTTCTCCATCTTGTGAGTGAGAGATTTCTCCATCTTGTGGAGTGAGAGATTTCTCCATCTTGTGAGTGAGAGATTTCTCCATCTTGTGAGTGAGATTTCTCCATCTTGTGAGTGAGAGATTTCTCCATCTTGTGAGTGAGAGATTTCTCCATCTTGTGAGTGAGAGATTTTCCATCTTGTGAGTGAGAGATTTCTCCATCTTGTGAGTGAGAGTTTCTCCATCTTGTGAGTGAGAGATTTCTCCATCTTGTGAGTGAGAGTTTCTCCATCTTGTGAGTGAGAGATTTCTCCATCTTGTGAGTGAGAGATTTCTCCATCTTGGGTGAGAGATTTCTCCATCTTGTGAGTGAGAGTTTCTCCATCTTGTGAGTGAGAGATTTCTCCATCTTGTGGTGAGAGATTTCTCCATCTTGTGAGTGAGAGATTTCTCCATCTTGTGAGTGAGAGTTTCTCCATCTTGTGAGTGAGAGATTTCTCCATCTTGTGAGTGAGAGTTTCTCCATCTTGTGAGTGAGAGATTTCTCCATCTTGTGAGTGAGAGATTTCTCCATCTTGTGAGTGAGAGATTTCTCCATCTTGTGGTGAGAGATTTCTCCATCTTGTGAGTGAGAGATTTCTCCATCTGTGAGTGAGAGATTTCTCCATCTTGTGAGTGAGAGATTTCTCCATCTTGTGAGTGAGATTTCTCCATCTTGTGAGTGAGAGTTTCTCCATCTTGTGAGTGAGAGATTCTCCATCTTGTGAGTGAGAGATTTCTCCATCTTGTGAGTGAGGATTTCTCCATCTTGTGAGTGAGAGATTTCTCCATCTTGTGAGTGAGAGATTTCTCCATCTTGTGAGTGAGAGATTTCTCCATCTTGTGAGTGAGAGATTTCTCCATCTTGTGAGTGAGAGATTTCTCCATCTTGTGGTGAGATTTCTCCATCTTGTGAGTGAGAGATTTCTCCATCTTGTGAGTGAGAGATTTCTCCATCTTGTGAGTGAGAGATTTCTCCATCTTGTGAGTGAGAGATTTCCATCTTGTGAGTGAGAGATTTCTCCATCTTGTGAGTGAGAGATTTCTCCATCTTGTGAGTGAGATTTCTCCATCTTGTGAGTGAGAGATTTCTCCATCTTGGGTGAGATTTCTCCATCTTGTGAGTGAGAGATTTCTCCATCTTGTGAGTGAGAGTTTCTCCATTGTGAGTGAGAGTTTCTCCATCTTGTGAGTGAGAGATTTCTCCATCTTGTGAGTGAGAGTTTCTCCATCTTGTGAGTGAGAGATTTCTCCATCTTGTGAGTGAGAGATTTCTCCATCTTGTGAGTGAGAGATTTCTCCATCTTGTGAGTGAGAGATTTCTCCATCTTGTGAGTGAGAGATTTCTCCATCTTGTGAGTGAGAGATTTCTCCATCTTGTGAGTGAGAGATTTCTCCATCTTGTGAGTGAGAGATTTCTCCATCTTGTGAGTGAGAGTTTCTCCATCTTGTGAGTGAGAGATTTCTCCATCTTGTGAGTGAGATTTCTCCATCTTGTGAGTGAGAGATTTCTCCATCTTGTGGAGTGAGAGATTTCTCCATCTTGTGAGTGAGAGATTTCTCCATCTTGTGAGTGAGAGATTTCTCCATCTTGTGAGTGAGATTTCTCCATCTTGTGAGTGAGAGTTTCTCCATCTTGTGAGTGAGAGATTTCTCCATCTTGTGAGTGAGATTTCTCCATCTTGTGAGTGAGAGATTTCTCCATCTTGTGAGTGAGAGATTCTCATCTTGTGAGTGAGAGATTTCTCCATCTTGTGAGTGAGATTTCTCCATCTTGTGAGTGAGAGATTTCTCCATCTTGTGAGTGAGAGATTTCTCCATCTTGTGAGTGAGAGATTTCTCCATCTTGTGAGTGAGAGATTTCTCCATCTTGTGAGTGAGAGATTTCTCCATCTTGTGAGTGAGAGATTTCTCCATCTTGTGAGTGAGAGTTTCTCCATCTTGTGAGTGAGAGATTTCTCCATCTTGTGAGTGAGAGATTTCTCCATCTTGTGAGTGAGAGATTTCTCCATCTTGTGAGTGAGAGATTTCTCCATCTTGTGAGTGAGAGATTTCTCCATCTTGTGAGTGAGAGATTTCTCCATCTTGTGAGTGAGAGATTTCTCCATCTTGTGAGTGAGAGATTTCTCCATCTTGTGAGTGAGAGATTTCTCCATCTTGTGAGTGAGAGATTTCTCCATCTTGTGGTGAGAGATTTCTCCATCTTGTGAGTGAGAGATTTCTCCATCTTGTGAGTGAGAGATTTCTCCATCTTGTGAGTGAGAGTTCTCCATCTTGGGTGAGAGATTTCTCCATCTTGTGAGTGAGAGATTTCTCCATCTTGTGAGTGAGATTTCTCCATCTTGTGAGTGAGAGATTTCTCCATCTTGTGAGTGAGAGATTTCTCCATCTTGTGAGTGAGAGATTTCTCCATCTTGTGAGTGAGAGATTTCTCCATCTTGTGGTGAGAGATTTCTCCATCTTGTGAGTGAGAGATTTCTCCATCTTGTGAGAGAGATTTCTCCATCTTGTGAGTGAGAGATTTCTCCATCTTGTGAGTGAGAGATCTCCATCTTGTGGTGAGAGATTTCTCCATCTTGTGAGTGAGAGTTTCTCCATCTTGTGGGTGAGAGATTTCTCCATCTTGTGAGTGAGAGATTTCTCCATCTTGTGGTGAGAGATTTCTCCATCTTGTGGTGAGAGATTTCTCCATCTTGTGAGTGAGAGATTTCTCCATCTTGTGAGTGAGAGATTTCTCCATCTTGTGAGTGAGAGATTTCTCCATCTTGTGAGTGAGAGATTTCTCCATCTTGTGAGTGAGAGATTTCTCCATCTTGTGAGTGAGATTTCTCCATCTTGTGAGTGAGAGATTTCTCCATCTTGTGGTGAGAGATTTCTCCATCTTGTGAGTGAGAGATTTCTCCATCTTGTGAGTGAGAGATTTCTCCATCTTGTGAGTGAGAGATTTCTCCATCTTGTGAGTGAGAGATTTCTCCATCTTGTGAGTGAGAGTTTCTCCATCTTGTGAGTGAGAGATTTCTCCATCTTGTGAGTGAGAGATTTCTCCATCTTGTGAGTGAGAGATTTCTCCATCTTGTGAGTGAGAGTTTCTCCATCTTGTGAGTGAGAGATTTCTCCATCTTGTGAGTGAGAGTTTCTCCATCTTGTGAGTGAGAGATTTCTCCATCTTGTGAGTGAGAGTTTCTCCATCTTGTGAGTGAGAGATTTCTCCATCTTGTGAGTGAGAGATTTCTCCATCTTGTGAGTGAGAGATTTCTCCATCTTGTGAGTGAGAGATTTCTCCATCTTGTGAGTGAGAGATTTCTCCATCTTGTGAGTGAGATTTCTCCATCTTGTGAGTGAGAGATTTCTCCATCTTGTGAGTGAGAGATTTCTCCATCTTGTGAGTGAGAGATTTCTCCATCTTGTGAGTGAGAGATTTCTCCATCTTGTGAGTGAGAGATTTCTCCATCTTGTGAGTGAGAGATTTCTCCATCTTGTGGTGAGAGATTTCTCCATTGTGAGTGAGAGATTTCTCCATCTTGTGAGTGAGAGATTTCCATCTTGTGAGTGAGAGATTTCTCCATCTTGTGGTGAGAGATTTCTCCATCTTGTGGTGAGAGATTTCTCATCTTGTGAGTGAGAGATTTCTCCATCTTGTGAGTGAGAGATTTCTCCATCTTGTGAGTGAGAGATTTCTCCATCTTGTGAGTGAGAGATTTCTCCATCTTGGGTGAGAGATTTCTCCATCTTGTGAGTGAGAGATTTCTCCATCTTGTGAGTGAGAGATTCTCCATCTTGTGAGTGAGAGATTTCTCCATCTTGTGGTGAGAGTTTCTCATCTTGTGAGTGAGAGATTTCTCCATCTTGTGAGTGAGAGATTTCTCCATCTTGTGTGAGAGATTTCTCCATCTTGTGAGTGAGAGATTTCTCCATCTTGTGAGTGAGATTTCTCCATTGTGAGTGAGAGTTTCTCCATCTTGTGAGTGAGAGATTTCTCCATCTTGTGAGTGAGAGATTTCTCCATCTTGTGAGTGAGAGATTTCTCCATCTTGGGTGAGAGGTTTCTCCATCTTGTGGTGAGAGATTTCTCCATCTTGTGAGTGAGAATTTCTCCATCTTGTGAGTGAGAGTTTCTCCATCTTGGAGTGAGAGATTTCTCCATCTTGTGGGTGAGATTTCTCCATCTTGTGAGTGAGAGATTTCTCCATCTTGGAGTGAGAGATTTCTCCATCTTGTGAGTGAGAGATTTCTCCATCTTGTGAGTGAGAGATTTCTCCATCTTGTGAGTGAGAGATTTCTCCATCTTGTGAGTGAGAGATTTCTATCTTGTGGTGAGAGATTTCTCCATCTTGTGAGTGAGAGATTTCTCCATCTTGTGAGTGAGGTTTCTCCATCTTGTGAGTGAGAGATTTCTCCATCTTGTGAGTGAGAGATTCTCCATCTTGTGAGTGAGAGATTTCTCCATCTTGTGAGTGAGAGATTTCTCCATCTTGTGAGTGAGAGATCTCCATCTTGTGAGTGAGAGATTTCTCCATCTTGTGAGTGAGAGATTTCTCCATCTTGTGAGTGAGAGATTTCTCCATCTTGTGAGTGAGAGATTTCTCCATCTTGTGGTGAGATTTCTCCATTGTGAGTGAGAGATTTCTCCATCTTGTGAGTGAGATTTCTCCATCTTGTGAGTGAGAGTTTCTCCATCTTGTGAGTGAGAGATTTCTCCATCTTGTGAGTGAGAGATTTCTCCATCTTGTGAGTGAGAGTTTCTCCATCTTGTGAGTGAGAGATTTCTCCATCTTGTGAGTGAGAGTTTCTCCATTGTGAGTGAGAGATTTCTCCATCTTGTGAGTGAGATTTCTCCATCTTGTGGTGAGAGATTTCTCCATCTTGTGTGTGAGAGATTTCTCCATCTTGTGAGTGAGAGATTTCTCCATCTTGTGAGTGAGAGATTTCTCCATCTTGTGAGTGAGAGATTTCTCCATCTTGTGAGTGAGAGATTTCTCCATCTTGTGAGTGAGAGATTTCTCCATCTTGTGAGTGAGAGATTTCTCTCATTGTGGTGAGATTTCCATCTTGTGAGTGAGAGATTTCTCCATCTTGTGAGTGAGATTTCTCTTGTGGTGAGAGTTTCTCCATCTTGTGAGTGAGAGATTTCTCCATCTTGTGAGTGAGAGATTTCTCCATCTTGTGAGTGAGAGATTTCTCCATTGTGAGTGAGAGATTTCTCCATCTTGTGAGTGGAGGTTTCTCTCATTGTGAGTGAGAGATTTCTCCATCTTGTGAGTGAGATTTCTCCATCTTGTGGTGAGAGATTTCTCCATCTTGTGAGTGAGAGATTTCTCCATCTTGTGAGTGAGAGATTTCTCCATCTTGTGAGTGAGAGATTTCTCCATCTTGTGAGTGAGAGATTTCTCCATCTTGTGAGTGAGAGATTTCTCCATCTTGTGAGTGAGAGATTTCTCCATCTTGTGAGTGAGAGTTTCTCCATCTTGTGAGTGAGAGATTTCTCCATCTTGTGAGTGAGAGATTTCTCCATCTGTGAGTGAGAGATTTCTCCATCTTGTGAGTGAGAGATTTCTCCATCTTGTGAGTGAGAGATTTCTCCATCTTGTGAGTGAGAGATTTCTCCATCTTGTGAGTGAGAGGTTTCTCCATCTTGTGAGTGAGAGATTTCTCCATCTTGTGAGTGAGAGATTTCTCCATCTTGTGAGTGAGAGATTTCTCCATCTTGTGAGTGAGAGATTTCTCCATCTTGTGAGTGAGAGATTTCTCCATCTTGTGAGTGAGAGATTTCTCCATCTTGTGAGTGAGAGATTTCTCCATCTTGTGAGTGAGAGATTTCTCCATCTTGTGCTGTTTGTGGCTTCCCGCCAGGACTCCCCCGTGGAGGTGTCCTTCACCTTCGAGGGCAGCGGCCTCGTCCACAGGTGAGGGGGGTGGGGGGGTGGGGGGCTAGTGGGGGTGGTGGGGGGGGGGAGTGGTGGGGGGAGCGTCAGACGCGTCGTCACAATGGCCGCCCGCCTGAAGGGACCAATCCGGTGAGGCGGCCGGTTCGTTGCGAGTTCGTCACTCTCGTTGGAGAGGCCCATAGGGTCAGGGCTATAGTGTCAGGGCTATAGGGTCAGGGCTATAGGGTCAGGGCTATAGGGTCAGGGCTATAGTGTCAGGGCTATAGGGTCAGGGCTATAGGGTCAGGGCTATAGGGTCAGGGCTATAGTGTCAGGGCTATAGGGTCAGGGCTATAGGGTCAGGGCTATAGTGGTCAGGGCTATAGGGTCAGGGCTATAGGGTCAGGGCTATAGTGTCAGGGCTATAGGGTCAGGGCTATAGGGTCAGGGCTATAGTGGTCAGGGCTATAGGGTCAGGGCTATAGTGTCAGGGCTATAGGGTCAGGGCTATAGGGTCAGGGCTATAGGGTCAGGGCTATAGTGTCAGGGCTATAGGGTCAGGGCTATAGGGTCAGGGCTATAGGATCACTACATTACACACTATACCCAACACTACTATACACTACACTATAGAGTACACTACACACACACACCCCATACACACAGACACACACACACCACACCATACACACAACACACACACACCACACCATACACACATCAACACACCATACACACAACACACACACACCCACACACACACCCACACAACACACACCATACACACCACACACACCATACATACACACACACCACTACACACAACACAACACACACCACACACACCATACACACAACACACACACACCACGCACACACCATACACACAGCACCACACCATCACCACTCCACCACAACACACAACACACCATACAACAACACACACACACCACACACACACCACACAACACACCACCACCACAACACACACCATACACACACCATACATACACACACCACAACACCATACACACAACACCACACACCACGCACACCACATACACACACCAACCACACAATACACACTCCACACACACACACACACACACCATACACACAACACACACACCACACACACAAAAACACACACACACACAACACACACACCACAACCACACACCATACACACACCACACACACCATACATACACACCATACACACAACACACACCATACACACAACACACACACCTACAACACCAACCACACATACACATCCACACACACACACACACCAACACAACACACACCCCACACACACACCAACAACACACACACACCACACAAACACACACACCCACAACACACACACCATACACACCACACACACCATACACACACACCATACACACACGCACACAACAACATACACACCATACACACACACCATACACACAAACACACCACACCATACACACACCAACCACACCATACACACTCCACACACACACACCACACACACCATACACACAAACACACACCACACACACACCACACAACACACACACACCACAACACACACACCATACACACACCACACACATACACACACCATACACACACCGCACACACACCATACACACACCACACACACCATACACACACACCATACACACACCGCACACACACCATACACACAACATACACGCACCGCACACACCACACACGCCTGCTGGGTCTGTCCCGTGACCTCCTCCTGCCAGCGGGCATTAGACACTTTACGTGGCCTCAACGTGCACCTAGCGTGGCACAAGCATCGTGGTGACGTCACCGCCACTTAGCGGCGAACGGCGGTTGTTGTTGTTGTGTTGTTGTTGTGGTGTTGATATTGTTGTGTTGTTGTTGTGTTGTTGTTGGTGTGTCGTTGTTGTGTTGTTGTTGTTGTTGTTGTGTCGTTGTTGTGTGTTGTTGTTGTGTTGTTGATGATGTTGTTGTGGTGTTGATGTTGTTGTGGTGTTGATATTGTTGTGGTGCTGTGATGTTGTTGGTGTTGTTGGTTGTTGTTTGTTGTGTTGTGTGTTGTGTGCACGTCTCGTTTGGCCCTGCGGCAGGCCGGGGATCTCTGTGTTCCGTGAGCGCTGGCTCAGCGACATCTGGAGAGCAAGAGACTCTCCTGGAGACGCGGTGCCTGACAGCGACACCAACCACACAACATAGCAAACAACAACAACACAACAGCAGCAACAATAACAGCAGCAGCAGCAACAACAGCAGCGACCATTCACTGCTGAACGCCACCACCCCGCCACCACATTCACTAATCACCTACACCACCACCACCACCAACAACAGCAGCGGCAGCAACAACAGCAGCGACCATTCACCGCTGAACGCCACCACCACCGCCACCACATTCACTCAACCACCACCACTACCACCACCTCCACCACTACCACCATCACCTCCATTCAACACCACAACCACTATCGCCGCCACCTACACCCCACCTCACTCACCACCTACACCACCACTACCACCACCTCACCACCACCACTACCACCACCACCTCCACTCAACCACTACCACCACCAACACCACCACCGCCACTACCACCACCACCACCACTTATCACCACCACTCAACCACTACCACCATCACCACCTCCCCCACATCCTCCACCTCCATCCACCACCTCTCCCATTGACACCCTGAGGATCTGTAAACTGATATTTAAAAAAATAAAATGGGGCCTTCGATACGATGGTTGGAGTCTGCGTCTCTCATCATCACAGTGGCTATGAGATGTTGACTACCTCGCCTGGTGTACAGGAGCTCGTGGGTTCCATCCCTCAGCCTGACGATGTCTGAGTGAGTGGTGAGATGTTGACTACCTCGCCTGGTACACAGGAGGTCGTGGATTCCACCCCTCACCTTGACGATGTCTGAGTGATTGAGTGAGATGTTGACTACCTCGCCTGGTGTACAGGAGGTCGTGGGTTCCATCCATCACCCTGACAATGTCTGAGTGAGTGAGATGTTGACTACCTCGCCTGTTACACAGGAGGTCGTGGTTCCACCCCAGTCCCTGGCGATGTCTGAGTGAGTGAGTGAGATGTTGACGACCTCGCCTGGTGTTCAGGAGGTTGTGGGTTCCATCACTCACCCTGACGATGTCTGAGTGAGTGGTGAGATGTTGACTACCTCGCAGACAAATATGGATGGAACCCACGACCTCCTGTACACCAGGCGAGGTAGTCAACATCTCACCACTCAGACATCGTCAGGGTCAAGATCAAACCCACGACCTCCTGTACACCAGGCGAGGTAGTCAACATCTCACCCACTCACTCAGACATCGTCAGGGTCAGATCGAACCCACGACCTCCTGCACACCAGGCGAGGTAGTCAACGTCTCATAGCCACCGTGACATCCCTGGGGACAGGCTTGCACCGAGTCTCTCGTCACACAATCAGAATCTTTATTTCGACTGCAGCGGCAGGAGGAGGGAATCTGAAGCGCTGTAAAGCTCTTTGTCAAGCGATGTTCCAGTAAGGGGCACGGGGGTCAGACCGTTCGAACAAACTAGGAGGGTGACTGTGTGTTGGTGTGTGTAGGAGGGTGACTGTGTGTGTGTGTGGAGGAGGCTCGTGAAGGACGCTACTGGGCAGTTGGAGGCAGTCGCCCTCCAAACAACAACGGAGGGCGGAGGAGCGACGCTCACAACAACGAGCGGAGCGCCGGTGGCTTAAAGCACAGGCAAGTTGGCACAGTAGGGGGCACAGGTGGTGCATCAGCCAGTCATCTCGGTCATCTCGGTCAGTCGACCCGTGGCACCTGCTCAGTCTGCCCCGTGACCTCCTGCCAGCGGGCGTTCGACACTTCACGTGGCCTCAAGGTGCACTTGGCCTGGCACAAGCGTCATGGTGACGTCACCACCACTTAGTGGCGAATGGCGGTTGTTGTTGTTGTTGTTGTGTGTCACTGTGTGTGTGTGTGTAGGAGGGTGACTGTGTGTGTGTGTAGGAGGGTGACTGTGTGTGTAGGAGGGTGACTGTGTGTGTGTGTGTGTAGGAGGGTGACTGTGTGTGTGTGTAGGAGGGTGACTGTGTGTGTGTAGGAGGGTGACTGTGTGTGTGTAGGAGGGTGACTGTGTGTGTGTGTAGGAGGGTGACTGTGTGTGTGTAGGAGGGTGACTGTGTGTGTGTAGGAGGGTGACTGTGTGTGTGTAGGAGGGTGACTGTGTGTGTGTGTAGGAGGGTGACTGTGTGTGTGTGTAGGAGGGTGACTGTGTGTGTGTAGGAGGGTGACTGTGTGTGTGTGTAGGAGGGTGACTCTGTGTGTGGTGTGTTAGGAGGGTGACTGTGTGTGTAGGAGGGTGAGTGTGTGTGTGTAGGAGGGTGACTGTGTGTGTAGGAGGGTGACTGTGTGTGTAGGAGGGTGACTGTGTGTGTGTGTAGGAGGGTGACTGTGTGTGTGTAGGAGGGTGACTGTGTGTGTGTAGGAGGGTGACTGTGTGTGTGTGTAGGAGGGTGACTGTGTGTGTGTGTAGGAGGGTGACTGTGTGTGTGTGTAGGAGGGTGACTGTGTGTGTGTAGGAGGGTGACTGTGTGGTGTGTAGGAGGGTGACTCTGTGTGTGTGTGTAGGAGGGGTGACTGTGTGTGTGTAGGAGGGTGACTGTGTGTGTGTAGGAGGGTGACTTTGTGTGTGTGTCGGAGGGTGACTCTGTGTGTGTGTAGGAGGGTGACTGTGTGTGTGTGTGTAGGAGGGGACTGTGTGGTGTAGGGGGTGACTGTGTGTGTGTAGGAGGGTGACTGTGTGGTAGAGGGTGACTGTGTGTGTATAGGAGGGTGACTGTGTGTGTGTAGGAGGGGACTGTGTGTGTGTAGGAGGGTGACTGTGGTGTGTGTAGGAGGGTGACTGTGTGTGTGTGTGTAGGAGGGTGACTGTGTGTGTGTGTGTAGGAGGTTGACTGTGGTGTGTGTAGAGGGTGACTGTGTGTGTGTGTGTAGGAGGGTGACTGTGTGTGTGTGTAGGAGG